TCTTTTGCACTGCTGGTGGAAATGCAAGCTGGTGCAGCCACTCTTGAATGTATATATGTATACAATGGAATATTACTTGGTGATCCAAGAGAATGAAATCTTGCCATTTATAACAATGTAGATGGGACTAGAGTGTATTATTCCAAGCGAAATAAGTCAGTCAGAGAAAGATAAGTAGCATATGATTTCACTAATATGTGGAATTTAAGATACAGAACAAATGGACATAAGGGAAGGGAAACAAAAATAACATAAAAACAGAAAGGAAAACAAACCATAAGCGACTCTTAAATACAGAGAACAAACTGAGGGTTGCTGGTGGGGTGTTGGGTAGGAGGATAGGCTAAATGAGCAAGGGACATTAAGGAGGCCACTTGTTGGGGTGAGCACTAGGCGTTACATGTAAGTGATGAATCAGTAAATTCTATTCCTGAAATTATTATTATGCTATATGTTAACTAATTTGGATTTAAAATAAAAAAAAAAAAACCTTTTCTGGGGTGGCAACACAGCTCTTAAATACAGCAATTGTACGGCTGAAATCTATATTATGATTCCGACATTATACTATATCTGTGATTTAAGTGAATGACTTTCATTTATTTAAATAACTATTAAAGCCATATGATTTCATTCATGTGTGGAACTTAAAAAACGAAACAAAAGAACAAAGGGGGAAAAAAAGAGACAACCCGAAAAACAGACTTTTAACTATATAAACAAACAGGTGGTTACCAGAGGGGAGGTGGGTGGGGGGATGGGTGAGATGGGTGAAGTACACTTACCTTCATGAGCACTGAGTAATGTATAGAATTGTTGAATCACTATATTGCATACCTGAAACTAATATAACACTGTATGTTAACATCACCGAAATAAATAAATTAATTAATTAATAAATAACCATTAAAATAAGACTTCAGAATAGATGGTTCTAGTTGCCTCCTGAGGGTGGCTCTACACTGAGGAAGAGGTGTTTGCCTTCAAAGTTCCTTCTTTCAACAGAAGGAAACACAAACTGTAGCTAGTGTCAGCTTAGTCACAGTTGAAACACAGGGAGGTGACTGCTGAGAATTTAAGTGTATGAAGTACCTCCCCTGGGATGCCATGAGCTTTGCAAAAGTATTTAATAATAATGGATACAAGGGGCGCCTGGGTGGCTCAGTTGGTTAAGCAACTGACTTCAGCTCAGGTCATGATCTCACGGCTTGTGAGTTCCAGTCCCATCTCAGGCTCTGTGGTGAGAGCTCGGAGCCTGGAGCCTGCTTTGGATTCTGTGTCTCCCTCGCTCTCTGCCCCTCCCCTGCTCATGCTCTATCTCTCTAAAAAATAAACAAACATTAAAAAATTAAAAAAAATCATAATGGATACAAACATTTACTCTTTGATTCCATGATTTGAAGCAGCTAGTTTTTGTGGTTTAAGGAATGTGAGTTTTTAAAAATGCTCAAGGTCTGTGTATATTGTGCCATTTTCATATATTTGTAACTGAAACCAGAGTTTTCAGTTTCCATTTCCCTAATTGTCTCATGTTTCATACACTTTACCTTAAGGACAAAGAGAGTTGTTCTCTTAAAACTACACATTTTGACCATGTTCTAATCTTTTCTAGAAGCTCTCATTCAGGGTTATCTTGAAAAAGTTTCAAATGACAAAATGTATGCTTCAAGGCTTTCCAACATTCCTTTCACCAGTATTTATTTATATTGCTTCCCAATTCCCTCTTCCAACCCAGCCTTTGTTTCTATCTATTAAGGTAAGTTTACTCTTTGGAAAATGTACCCTTCTCTCTGAAACATAAGATTCACATTCTCTGTGAAGTCTTTCTTGATAAACCTCACTTGGTTTTGTGTTGGCCTCCATGGCATTAGCCATCTCTCAACATTCATGTTCACATATCTCTCCAATATTTTCCATTTATTCTGCATGTTTTATATGTCTGTTAATATGTAATTGCACGTTTTCCTTATCCTATTTTTTCTTTTGACTCACCTTTTCAACTTGTCACCCCCTCAATGAAGGCATTCAGTATTTTCAGAACATTCAGTAAGCTAAGTATAATGGCCTGATAGGTAAAGAAGGTGATGTATATCATCAGGGCAGATCGAAGAAGCCAATTAGAATAGTGAACAGGAAAAGGACATTATCAAGAAAGTAGGTAAACTAGAAGAGAGAAAGTGCACATTAGTGAGACCTGTAAAAGGAAGCAGGGGTCTTCAGTCTAATTTCTTAATTTTTTTTTTTTAACGTTTATTCACTTCTTGAGAGACAGAGACAGAGTGTGAGCAGGGCAGGGGGCAGAGAGAGAGGGAGACACAGAATCCGAAGCAGGCTCCAGGCTCTGAGCTGTTAGCACAGAGCCCGACGTGGGGCTTGAAATCACAGACTGTGAGATCATGACCTGAGCCAAAGTCAGATGCTCAACTGACTGAGCCACCCAGGCGCCCTTCAGTCTAATTTCTAACCCCTCCACTGATTCCCTGATTATCAGATGGTGAGCATCCACCTTCATTCCTCAGTGTTTAATTCTATTTGTAAAATAGGTATTTTCACTTTTTTTTCCACTTACCCTCTAGCTGATCTCATCCAGTTCAATAACTTTAAATACTTTTCTCTTGAATTTGAGAGACTCATTGATCTATTCACCTACTCTACAACTGCACTTGGATGTGTCTCTTGGGCATCTCAGACTCAATACAGCCAAAACCAAACCTTGATTCTCATGCCCTCCCCCACTCAAAGCTGGCTCCACCCTATTTCAGTAAATGGCAATTCCATCCTTGCAAAGTGCTTGACTTTGGCTTTCCCTCACACTTCATATCCAATCTATCATCAATTGTGTCAGCTGTACCTTCAAAATATATCTAGAATACAACTGCTTTCCACCACCTCCACAGCACCATCTTGGTTTAGGCCAACATCGTCTTCTACCTGGATTATCACCATAGCCTTATCTGTTCCCCTGGCTGCCATTCTCAACCTCTTACAGTCTACAAAGAAGCTAGCCTGATCACTTCAAAAGGAAAGCCATAACATGTCACACCTCTGCTAAAAAAAAAACCTCCACTGACTTTTTTTTTAAGTTAAAAAAATTTTTGTTTTTCATGTTCATTTGAGAGAGAGACAGACAGAGAGAGAGCATGAGCGGGGGAGGGGCAGAGAGAGAGACACAGAATCCGAAGCAGGCGCCAGGCTCTGAGCTGTCAGCACAGATCCCAACGCAGGGCTCAAACTCACGAACTGTGAGATAATGACAAGAGCCGAAGTCAGACACTTAACCGACTCGGTCACCCAGGCGCCCCCTCTCCATTGGCTTCTCATTTCGTTCTAAATAAGATCCAAAATTCTTCACGAGGAATTCAAAGCTCAACACAGTTTTGTTATAGATCTCTTTGATCTCATTTTCTAACACACTCCCCCTTGTTTAGTCAGCTCCAGCCACAAGGGCTTCCTTCCTGTTGCTAGAATATGCCAACCACTTCACCTATTTAGCATTCTATTCTACCATCATTCTTGTCAGCAACCCTGCTTTATTTTCTAAACAGCACCTACCATTACCTGACACATTTATTTTTTGTCTTGTCCCATGAGAATGCAAACTCCATGGGAGCAAGAAGGGTTGTCTGTTCTGTTCACTGCTTTTCCCTAACACCTAGAACAGTGCTCCTGATTGCAACAGTAATAATTTCTAGGTATGAAATTCAAAGGATTTTTCACTTCATTAGAAGAAAACAAGCAAACAAAAATCTATTTTGGTTGCTCAGACATTCAATCTTAAAATAACCAAAATACTTCTAGAATGAAGCTAGATTCCACAGCACCCATCAGGAATTACAACTGCAGGAAATGCTGAATGACAATGTTCAAGCATACAAGCCTTTCAGATGCATCAGAATCACAAGCACATGGCAAGGATCATGTGCCCAATTAAATGAATATTCTTATTAATATTCATCAGCTCATAAACAGATGTTGACCCTGAGCAGACTGTCCTGATGACTCTGCTAGCAAGAAAGGAATGACATCACTGGAGAACCTCCAGGCATATGCTCAGGCAGGTGACACACACACACATACACACAGCCTAGGCTGTGATTGCCGAACTGCCATAGAAACCTGTCTTATGACCAACCCTCAGGGGAATTCTCCCAGCCTGACAATCACCTCTAACTCCTCTGCAGTTAACGTTCAGGGGTCTGTTTGTGATCAGTGCGATGTTACCTTCAAATGCATAATTGTGATACCTTTTCTTAAATGTTTACTCATTTATTCATGAATAAAGGAAGGAAATGGAATTTCTTTAAATTCCATTTCTTGGTCCATGACAACCTAGTATGGCTGTCTCTAATATTGAACCCGCAGCTTGTCATCAGTACCTCTCCTCACCCAATCCCCTCAAACTAGTCACACTCCCTGTATGGAGCCCCCAACCTGTTACCAAACAATACTCCCAGACTGTCAATGCCCTAAACAGACTCCCCTCGCCGTCACCAACCACCAGAGACTCTTCTTCTGGCATTCACACCGCCAAAATCCCTCCCCTTGTCATCAATGAGACTTCCCTCATGAAAAGTCCTCTATAAGAGCCCTGTTCTATCGGCCAGACCCCCCAAACTCCTCTTCCCGTTACGAACGGCCACCGAGACCCCACTCCTGTTACCAGCTCCCGACATCAATTCCTTCCCAGTCACCAAAACCCCTCAAACACGGTCCTGTAGCCACCGTCGTCATCCCACTTCCCCCGGTAGCCCCTCGCGGAGCCATCTCCTGCCCCGCCTCCTTGAGTGTGGCCCAGCTCGCAGGCTGCCTTCCTGGCTAGGAGCGCCGGAAGCCCCGCCCCCAGCCGGTTGCTAGGCTCCGGCAGCCGGAAGTCCCGCCTGCCGTGTAGTCGCCGCTGCTGCTGCCGCTGCCGTCGTTGTTGTTGTGGTTGGTGCGCTGAGCTCCGCGGCTCCGAGAGCCGGCTGCATCCCTTCCCCGCCGCCGCCATGAAGTGGATGTTCAAGGAGGACCACTCGCTGGGTAAGGGCTCCCTCAGAGGCCGGGGGTGGGGGTCGGGGCGGCGGGTGGGCCCCCTCCCCCACTCGGGTCGCCTTGGGTTGGGCTTGGCCGGGCGGGGCGGAGGCCGCGCTCGGACTCGGGTCGCTGAGGCTCCGGTGCCCCCGGCGGCTGCCCACGGACCTTGTGCCGCCTTTTGCCCTTTTTCCTGGTGGCTCGGTACGGAGGACCGAGGCCGCCGGGACGCCGGAACAAGGGCCCCGGGCGTACGCAGGTCGCTGGGGGAGGAGGGCCGGGGGCCCGGGAACCGGCCCACGGGCGGGCGCGACCGTCAGTCCGGTGTGTGTCTCCCACAGAACACAGATGTGTGGAATCTGCGAAGATCCGAGCGAAATATCCCGACCGGGTTCCGGTGAGTGCACTCCCCGCCCCCTCACCTCGCTGTCACCCCGTCGTCTAGGACTAGTGACAGGGCCCCGGGCCATTCAACAGTTGACAAGTTGAGGTTCCAGTCCCAGTTATAGTAGCAGACAGGCCAGACTGGGTTAGGGGCCTTCCGGGGCCCAGACTTGAGGGTCTTGAATTGGTGCTGTTCAGGGCGACTCAGTGCTGAATCTCCCGATCTAGGCCAGCGAGCTGCCTGCAGCCTCTGGGCTCCCTCGCCAATTATGTAAGGAACGATGTTCTAGGACAGGGCAACAGGTCACTGCCACTTTTGGGAACAGTGATGGGGGAAGACTGTCACTTTGGTCTTCGAAGCGGTACTTTAGTCGCAGGACACTCATCTTTAACTTTGAGCCTCCGTCTTTACCTGCCTTCTAGCTGCCTTTCTTCACTTTGACCCGGTCATCCTTTCCTGACCAAAAAATCTTAAAAGCGTCCGAGAACCCCTTCTTCCCTGGTTTCTCCTTAGTCAGTAATAAATACGTTCCTATATTTCTTCTGTGGTAGGAGATAAAGTTTCTGTAATCCTTACTGAGTTTTAAAGGACATGCATGTCTGTTACTGTAGCACTTTGAATAGCTACTTTGAGGGAGGGGTTAGGAGGGACACATTTGAAACCTAGTTCAGGGAGAGTAGGAACAGGCCAAATGAGGAGCTTGGTTCTTGGCCGGCTGGGATTGCCACTCACTCCCATTAGTCTATCCGTTCCTGTTTCCTGTGTTCCTTGGGATCATACTTCCCCTGTAGTGTGAAGGCAGACCCATTCTGAGGTCCTGCAGTAACTGGCTATAGATGAAACTCTCAGCAGATATTCTCAGGTCTACACAGACAAAATGTGGAAAAGCTTTCAAGTAAGGGCTGTGTTTCTCTCATGCATGCTGAGATCCAGGATGATAAATATAATTGACCACAGAAAAGCACTTACTGTTTGCCTGTCACACATTTATATCAGTTCTTAACCTCCAGAGTTAAGAGTTTGTGGTTTATTAAATCAAGGGCATGTTTTCCAGTGTTGTACAGTTTCCCACCCACTCTTTCCCACATACTATTCATCAGCTCCCTGACAGGGCAAGGGTAGAGCAGTGCAGGGCCAGAGCCTCGCTTTAGAAACCCAATCCTGACCTCTCTTTGTTTTCCCAGGTGATTGTGGAAAAAGTCTCAGGCTCTCAGATTGTTGACATTGACAAACGGAAGTATCTGGTTCCATCTGACATCACTGTGGCTCAGTTCATGTGGATCATCAGGAAAAGGATCCAGCTTCCTTCTGAAAAGGCAATCTTCCTGTTTGTGGATAAGACAGTCCCACAGTCCAGGTAAGAAGTGTTTACTGGCATTGGCTATCTGCTTAGCTGCTTACAGAACTCAAAACTTTGAAGGTCAGAAAACTTGTAAATGTCCTGACTGGAAATCTGGATTTTGGGCCCCGTGACATGAGGAGTTCAAGGAAAATAAGAAAGAGCTGCAGTACATGGAATGTCCTTTGGGTTAAGAAAACAGAACAAGGTTGGACTTAAAAAAAAAAATAATAATAATAAAGAAATGCAGCCTCAGACCCTCACGAATCCTTTAACACAGTTGAGGACTTACTTAGGCTTAAGCCATCAGTAGAACTGAAGCCTAAAATGAGATTTTCTTCAAATGATCCATGAAATAAGTCCTGGCATTCTCCACTGGGAGCTTGTGGGCCCTCCTGAGGCTCAGCTTCAGTTAATCACCCTGCTGCTTGCTCTCCAGACTTATTTCGGTGCCACTGTCAGAGTCAGAGTGTGTAGCTGCCTGATCCTCAGGTATGCTAAAATGGCTGCTGTCCAGCAAAAGGCTCCGTGGTCTCTTTACAGACTTCTACCTCCCTCGTCACACCTGCTTTCACTGACAGAGTAACCGCCCCCTCGCTCCAGCTCTTGGGCTGCCTGGAAGCGTTCTTTGGGATAACTTGGGACCTGAATCAAGGCAGGGGCATTACGATTCCCTTCTTCTGTGTAGTTGACTGCCTAGCCTTAGTTGCCTATGGAAAGAAGAAAATGGACTCATTCTAAATTCCTGGTCAGTCCTTTCCCATTACTGGCTGAGTACTTCTAGACCCTGAGCCAGATGCTAGTCCCTCTCCCGAGCGTGGGTTCCCTGGCTACATGTCATCTTGGCGACCCAAACTAAGTCTCATTTGTCACCCCCCGAAAGTAGCACTTCTAAAAGCTAAGGCTTTCAGAAGCCCTGGGAACTAGCCCAGTGTGGCCAAAGTATGTTTCCTTTGAAAATCCTTGGAAGGTCCAGAAAAGGCCTAAGCCAAACTCCATTCCTCTTCCTATGAAAAGTAGAGAGGTCTGGCTACTTGTTGGTCTGATTTTTGCTTTCCCAACCTCCACTGCCTCCATTTCCTGTGTTTGGCAGAGAAGCAGGATAGAGGAGAAGTGAAAGGTTCTTCAGTAAGGCCGGTGTCCTGCCTGAGAAGGTAGGCCGAGCCCTGCCTGCTGGGTGCTGTGGGTCTCCCGCAGCTATAGTTCGGGAAGCTGTGGTGTTGGCAGAGGCGGTCTGGCCACCTGGTGGGGCTCTTCCAGCCTCTCTTCCCAGGCCTCTAGGCACTGCGGTGCTGGGTGTACTTTTCATCAGGGGCGGAAGCCCTCGGCCTCTGTGGTCATACTCAGCTTCCCTTAAGGCTGTGGGGGAGGTAAATCTTCACTCATACCACCTGCAGCTTCTGTAGAGCTTTAGTGACCCTGTGTTTCCTCCTTCCTGGAGATGGCTTCTTAGGTGGAGGAAGTAGGCGACTAAGACCTGTGGCATTGAATTTATTTTACTCGATTCTGATCCTCTGATATTTCTTGAAGGAAATGAAGTAGGCTTCTGGAGACACTGTTACTCTGAGGGCTCCATGTTAATCTAGCAATTAAAATGGCTACAGATTAGCAACTGCCCCCTCCCTCCATTATCCCTGAGATATAAATAGAATTGGAAATGAAGAGTGATTCTCAGGGCAGCAGAGGCTGCTTCATTTTCTCTCCAAGTCCCATTTGCCTTTCCAACCTGATAAGAATCTGCCCTAAAGCAGATGATGCAGCGGTGACCCAAGTCCCGATTTTAGAGAGTCACTAACCAGGCTTCCTCTGTCTAGGCCTGTGGCCCCAGTTAAAGGCTTTCTGCTTCAGGCTTAATGCAGCAGTTATTTGCTGGGGGGTTTTATTAAGAAAAATTGTTCTTCGGGGCGCCTGGGTGGCTCAGTCGGTTGAGCCTCCGGCTCTTGATTTCAGCTCTGCTTATCATCTCATGGTTCATAAGTTCAAGCCCCGCTTTGGGCTCTGCGCTGACAGGGCAGAGCCTACTTGGGATTCTCTGTCTCTCCCTCAGTCTCTGCCCCTCCCTCACTTGCACTCTCTCTCTCAAAATAAATAAATAAACTAAAAAAAAAAAAATTGTTTCTAAACAAAAGAGGTATGTGACATCATTGGGCTTTATGCTGACGGTAATCACCTGATGGTAGCACACACAAAACTGTCACAGGGTCTCCCCCTGAAGCCCATGTGTGACTCAGCTTTGCCATCTCCTCCTTGAGGCACCTGAGCAGCAGCTTCTTCCTCAGCAACTTCCAGCCTCCTTAGGAAGTGTGGGGCCTCCCTTAACCTTCTGCCGGAGCTTGCATGCTTCCAAGAGCGGCTAGAGGAATAGTCGGGAAGGGAGGAGTCCAGGCCTGCAGGAGCCCTGCCCTGTCCATGACAGATCTGCGTGAGGGTCACTGGTGGAGCGAGCGAGAGGTGGAGCAGAAGCAACTTCAGTTATTCTTGCCTTCAAGTGGAACTTTGGGAGAGCGTTCTATAACACAGCTAAAAATTGTGGTCGTAAAAATGTGGTCATTGTTTAGAGTAGTTAGTATTAAATATTGATTCTAGAAATAGAGACCAAGGCAAGTCCCTGAGAGTTTTACTTGCTAAATTCTTTGAGTTCTCCATTTTTTTAAAAAGCAGGGCAGAGGGGGTAGGATCGCCACTCCTTTTTCCCATTTAGCATTGGAAAGTTAAATTCTCTGCCTATGTGCCCGCATTCAGAATCAGGCCAGAAACGGCAGGAGAATTGTGCCTTGATGCAGACAGAACTCAAAGGATATCCGTACATGCTTCCCAGTCATGGCCTTACAGGGAAGCCCAGACCTGGCAGTGGCACCTACCTTTTGGTCTTTGTTTAGAACACAGAGTCTTCTTAATCCCTGTTTAAAATAGAAACAGTAGTATATTATTAAATAAAATATCTGTAAGATGTTATAATTTAGGAATGTTACCTTTGGAAAAACCTGTGTTTAAGATTGTGGTGCTTAGTTGCTTTTTGATCTTTTTTTTTTTT